GTATTATTTCTTTTTTTTTTTTTTTTTTTTTTTTTTTTTTTTTTTTTATAAACAAGAAACAAGAAAGAAAAAACAAATACCTGAAAAAATCTAGTCAGTAGTGGATGATAGGAAAATAAAATTTTCCTCAGTGATGTGGAATTCTTTAGTTATTCTTCCTTAGAGATGATAAAAATCAGATGGCATAATCAGTTCTAAAACTGAAAACATGACTAATGGTAAGAAACACTTGATATTCTGTATGAGTACTTATAGTGCCCTTCCCCACTCTCATTGCTCAGTAGAAGAAATTTGATTATAATAAGGTTAGTTATAGCATTTATGCTTTCTTCTGGGTTACATGCCACAACTGCTTAAATGTTGATAACACAATCCATTTTTTATTTTTAAATCTCTGGTGCCACTCTTTGAAACTCAAAGTTATAAGTCAAATCCATACTAGGTTGTTACCAACTCACCAACATTGAAATTCAGGTCTGGGACATGCATTTTTAAAATGGAATGTCATTAGAATCTGAGAATTTGACACGTTGCAATGTAATCTATAAAAAAATAGTGTTCTGTAATAGTCAGTATAGAAGGTGAAATTCCACACATTTACCAAGGCTCAGATCCTTCTCCCAGTGCATTAGCTAGTAATAGCAAGTAATGGTTAATTTTATGAAAGATTGTGTTCAGTCATTATCAAGTGTCCACCCAGGGGCTGTGGTCTCCAGTGCCATCTTTTGTAAATATCAAGTTATTAAACAAGCAGAAAATTCTTCAGAAATTCCATGTATGATGTAATATCTAGTGTTCCTAATGGATCTGAGCCTGCATAGATATGCAGTTTGACAGATATTGAGTATCTAATGCTTCCAGAGCTGAGAGATTATTAATAGTAAGTGGCTTGTAACAGCAGTCTGGTTACATACTGCTGGTAGGGAATCATTGACTCTCTAAAGAAAGGTTAGTTTCTTGGGTGACCTGTGTTGTCTGGCCAGTCTGCTAAAGAACCAGCATACAATAATTTTCTCTTTCTGGCTCATTCACTTCTTGATTGAATTCTTCTTTGCTGCTTAAGAAGAATAAGAAGAAAGCTTTCGTGAGAATTTTATTAACTATATGATATAGTTATGCTTTGGATTCAACTTAGCATTTTAATCATGAGTGCATAGAAAGTTTGAAATTACTTGGGAAGCTTCTCAGTAAATTTATCTGAAGAGTAAATTTCTCTGAAATCTGAACATTTCATCTGGGAAATGAGAAAACATGGATGTATATGAGAGTGTGTTGCATAAATGCAAAAGTCAGAAAGGAAATGAAAAAAAGCTGGTGAGGTCATTTGTAAAAATCCAAACCATCTTGATTTGATGTAGAACCTAGAGCAGATGTGGGTTCAAATATGTATAGTGAGCTGGAAAAAGGAGCTGCAAGTAGAGCTTCTAACTTTGGGGAACATCAGTGAGCTGCTTTATGTTGTAGAAACACTTAAAATATTTTTTCTTATTATTTGTTTTTTTTTTCTAACAATTTCCTTTCATCTCAAAAACAGTGAGGTTTTGGGTTTGTTTTTTTTTTCTGTTTTTCCTGGAGGCCTACTTGGAAGGTATGGGCAGTAGAAAACCACTTGAATAGGGCTGATCTGATTACTTGAGAAAAATACGTGCAAGTTTTCAAAGGCAGGCAGAAAGAGACTGATTAAAGCACTGGTCTGTGTTTCTAAGGTATAAGTTTTATGTGATCTCATCGTAGAAAAGAGTTCTCAGCAGAAACTGAAGGAACTAATTCTTGAGAGTATTCTTTATTCTATCTCATTTCTTAAGCATCAAATATCTCAGTTGAACTTGCTGAATACAACTTGTATTTGTTGCACCTCATTTTCCAAGTATGTTTCAAAGACTTTCAAAGAAGTAGCATTATCTCATCATTGCTTATATGCCTGCTTATGGTTTACTCAGATTTCACTGTGTAATTGTTGTCATCAGCAGAAGAATTTGGGGGCAGCATGAAGAGGATTCTAGCCCTGGTTAGGTAAATGTTCATTTTTCTTTCATTTCTAATATTTGTATAACAAATATGTACATTTCTGATATAAAGTGGTCATGCAGGAAAACCTTCTGGAAGTTCTAGGTAGAGCTGAATATTTCCATGTAATTATAAGATAAGCATACTAATTTAGTAATATGCTTTTTGGTTCAAGGAAAATGCAGGAAATGCAAATTCCTTGAGTTTGAAAATAAAGAAAATGAATTTCGCTTTGTAAGCCACAAAAAAAAATCAAAAATTGCTAATGCTTTTAGAGTATGTATTGTATTTATTATAGTTAAAAAAAAAAAAGAATTTTCTAGGTGTTTGAATACTGTTTGAACAGTATTCTCAGAGTAAAGCATTTGGCCTATGTGGATTTTTGTCTCCACAAATTGTTTGTAAACTATGTCTGATGTTTGCAAGCATCATCTTTCAGAACAGCTCCAGACTGGACCTCTCAGTTATTTGAGATACTCAGCATTAGGTATAGTTATAAGTTGCTATTGTCTTTCTGCTCTCCTGGACTTCAGTGGTTGCATTTGCATATAAAAATAATCCTGGTTTCCTGCCCACCTTCAGCAAAAATCTACAAATTAATTGTGTTCTTTTTCTGTGCTGTTTGATTGTGTAATTAGTTGGTGATATTTTCAATGCACAAAGCACTATAAACGTGCTTTTTCTAGGCTGCTAGGAATAGAAACTTGTTTTCTGCCAGTGTAGCAGATAGGTTTCATTTTGAATATGAAAGTATGTAAAGAGAAGGTGTAATTTTGTGTGGCATTTCTATACAGTCACTTTTTTAACTGTTCAACAATAGCAGCTGGATGAGGCTGACAGAGTTAGCAAAGATTACTTATATGCAACATAGGAATGGAATATATGGAGCTTCAAAACTGCAGGTTTTGCTGCAGAAACCAAATACTTTCAGTTAGGTTACAATGAGAAGAGTAGTCTTTAAATGAAAGGTTTTAAGCTTTTGGGAATTTTGTTTCAATTCAGGACAGTGAAAAAAAAATCTACTTTAAAAAAATTATGCTTTATAATGTTATGCCTCCTTCTATTTCCAAATACTTGCTGCAACAGCAATATGATGTCTTAACTTTATTTCTGAGTACCCAGAGTTGAGAATCTAGGGAGTAAAAATCTTATCTCCTTGAGTTTCTCACCATTGTCAATCCAAGTTAGTTATTCCAATTTTGTCTATTTCCAGATGGTTTTAGTATCCTATTCCCCTTTTCATCACTAACTAATTCTGACAGCTTAGGTATTGTCAATGTTAATTATATCTAGACCATAAAAAAGGACTTAGCCTTTTTGTGGGTAGGTTTTATCATTATTGCTGACGTCTGGTGAAAGCATTAGATTACACTGCTTGCAGTTAACAGCAGGTGCATATTTCTTTATCTTTTTTTCCTCTGGCCTGTGTTAGTTACTTAGTATGTCTTTTATTACTAATTTAAATACCCTGAAATCTTTCAGATAGCTTATAGGAGATAGGATAGTTTGGTTTATCTTTTAAAATGCTTTCCCTGTGGGTAGCACAGTAAGGACAACTATGCCGAAGGCCTCATATAAAAGAAATAGTATCACATGATGAGTAGCTTTATGGATATTGGGAAAATTAGGTGTAATTTCTCTTGAAATATGCCTTTCTTTAGCACTGTCATACCGTTTAACAATGGTGCTCACTGACAGTTCATTGATAGAGGCTGATTTACCCTGCAGAAAATTAAAAATTGCTAGAAATTTCTTTCCAAACTGGGGGAAGAGTGCTTTTTTTTTTTTTCCTTCTGTTCCTTTTAATGACGGCAGCTGATGATATCCCTTACAGAGAAATCCTAACCGTAACAGTCTGCAGGCGTATCAGAGTAAGATTTTACTGAAGGCTTGCCTCAAGTTACCTCCGTACTGCTAAATAAATATCTCAGGGCTAGTTGTATCTCCTTGGCCCTGGGACCAAGCAGCACAGACTGGCATGTCTGTGTTCCATTGCCCCAGGCCCTGCATCTGATGTGAGCCTGTGCTCTAACTCGTTGGTCCCAGGGCATCATCAGATTCGTGCCTGAGTGGTGGTTTGGGGGAGGATCTGCTCTCAGGTGACTTCAGGCACTTTGGTCTGCATTTCAGCCTGATAGTTTTACAGCAGAAAGCTGAAGCAGGGCATTGCATGCCCTGGGCTGTGGTATGAGATGTTGCTGGGTAATGAAAAGCCTGTTTGGCAGTGCTGGGAGGCTGTGGGGCAGAGGAAGCCAAGTATGGTGCAGGCTTGTCTACCTTTCCCACTGGGAACTGCCTCAGTGTATGCTTTACCCCAAAATGCTCTCTATGCTGTGCTAGCTGGCAGAGGCCAAAGCTCTTCTAAAGAGCATGCCAACAATTAAGGTAGCACGAGGGATCAGCAGTCCCATGCTTAAGCTCACTTCCTGGCCTGAGCCCATTTGTCAGTGTAGACAGATGTAAGAACCTCGCCACTGTGGCAGATTTCCACAAGAACTCTGCAAAAAGTCCCTAGAATATATAATTCTTCTCCAATTGGACAACATTTCCTTCCCTGAGAGACAAGAAGGTGAACTCCAGCCCTTCCCAGTGCCAGGATTTGGTTGCTTCTGCAGTATGGAGAACACCTAGTTCTTAAGGCAGATATTAACAGCTAAGAGTTATGAGAAGATTCTCCTGAGGGCAAGCTAGGGATGGAATATCTTCCATTCAAGGAGCTAGGTCAGTCTTAGATGAGGTGTGACTAAGTTTTTATCTATTCTCAGCTCATTGTTGATCAAGTATGGGGTCTACTCTCAATGAAGCCTTGATAATTTCAGTATCTTCACTTCATTCTGGAGCTTCTCCAACATTATCTGTGGCATGGAGATGTTCTTTTCTCACTGTGTAATTGTATGAAGGTGGAAAATTGTTGATTAAGGAAATAATCAGCACTCAGATTCCACCCAGACTTCTGTATTTTAACACCTTTCAGCAAAATTACCCAAATTATATTCCATAAAACTCCATGATGTACTCAAGAGTGCATAATGGAACAATTCAGAATGAAATGCTTAAAACTTTGTCACACTTTGAAATAATTGATACTATAGAAAAATGCTTGAACAACTGCTTTTTATCATGAAGGTATTGTATGTGGTTGGAAGAACTGCCTTGTGTTTTGAGTAAAACACTGAACACATACTGTTTGGACTTCGATTTGCTTATCAAGTTTGTAAGTACACTTAAGAGAAAATCCAGTGCAGTGCATTGAAGAATAAGGAAGATGAAAGTGTTTGGAAGTGGGAGGGGTTACAAAATCTGTATTTTCCTGCCTGACAGGAAACCTTTTCTTAGAGGACAGATTCTGTGTTTGGCCTAGAATAATGAAATGCAGCTTTTGATATCAAATGTGGCTTTGAGCAGCCTGGTCTAGTGGGAGCTGTCCCTGCCTGTTGCAGGGGGGTTGGAGCTAGATCATCTTAAAGCTTCCTTCCAACCCAAATCATTATATGATTTTATGATTCTATAAATAGTGAGTGGTGATCCAGTACAAGGAAAGATGGGTTGGTTAGATGTTAATGTAACTGTAGCTGGTGGCTGTGTTGATGTCATATGAGGTGTTTTACTAACTATCTGAATCTTAGAAAACGGAAGAAAAATTAAAAAGGTAAGACAAATAAGACATCCTCTCTGTAATAATACTTCAGGTTATTAGTTTATAGATCTGAAGTAGATGCAGCAAATTTGGCTCTTTTCCCTCACTGCGGTTCTGAGATTTTTAGTGCTTTTTTTCAGTTTCAGTTCTGAGAATTCAAAAACTGAAATTCTCATTCCCAGTGTATTCAGGAATCATCTGATTTCCTTAATTCTACTGCAGAGTTACGTTTATTTCCTTTTTTCTATTGATTTTTTTAAAAATTTATTCTTTCTCATACACAGCTGTTTTTTACTTGGATTGATATAGGAGCTTTTATTTTAAGAGCTTTCATTGTACCTTTCACATAAGAAAAGTTCCACATCTTTCTTTTCCCACCCTTATAAGTGCATATTTAATTTTTTCAGACTCTCTGCCCAGTTGCATGGGCAGTAAGATGTCAGTTTTTGCATATGGAGTATGAGAGGGTTGTGTGCATGGCAGCTTGTATGCCTGGCTGCCCAAACCATGCGGCGCCTTCTGAGACGATCCTTCACCCTGTGGGGACAAACAGGCGTGGGGGTCACACACCAGCAGAAGCTGCAAGGATGCAGCACATCCTCAGGCGTGCTCCTGTGCTCTGAGGAGCCTGGCACATGGCATTTTTCCCAATTAGCTGTCTGTGACATTAATAAGGCATTGTGTTTGGAAGGAGGCTGTCAGATGTGTCTAAGGAATGAGCAGAGCTTCTCTCAATCTCCATAGAGCACATACCCATCAGGACAGCTTACTCAGTGGCAGTGCAGCCTCACCAGAGCAAGGCAAGAAATGACATACTGTAAGCAACTCCACTCTATTACACTGCATTTCAAAAGCTCCTTGGAGGGATGCAAATGAGGGAAAAATATCTTGGATGATTTCTTGAATTATAATTCTTCCTTTCTCATAACTCCATCGATAAAGTGGGGAATTTTTGGGATGTTTTCTGAGTTAGATCACAGGCTGTGATTATAGGTCCATTAGTCTGGACAGTTTAATGGAAAAATTCTCCCTCTGCATATGTTTTTCTGAGAAGAAAAAATAATACTAGGAAAGAATGAAATATCTGCTGTAATTACTTGCTGTTTCAGATGAAACTGTAATTACTGAAACTGTAATAACGGAGGACCTCCTAAGGTCAGTTGGTCCAGCCCCATTCAACAAGGCCCAACTCTGAAGTTACATAGGAATTACTGCTAGGCGTGTTAACAAAATAATGCTCTATAAGTTACTGACATAAATAATTACAGATTTTTCTACTGTTGGAAATGGAGTTCTGGTGCGTCTGGAGGTTCTTTGGTTCTGCTGTCATTTGACAGATTTTGTAAATTGATGATAATGCAGATAAATA